ATAATTGTCGAAGATGCCAAAAACCAGAACACTTTGCTTATTAATATAGGGCTCCAACTTGTGAGAATTGTAATTGAATTGGTCATGCTACAAGAAACTGTCAAACAAATAATAACTAGCGAAATAACAATTATAACAATAATAATAACAATTATTATCCTCCAAATAATAATAACAATTACAATAATTATCAACAACCACTAATAAACAACTATAATAATAACAATAACCAACCACCCCAAAATAATAACTGTCGCAAATCATAATGAAATCAGATTAAAATGAAACTGAGAACCTTTCTTGCTCATCTTTAAAGCTTATAAAACCTACTTATACTCTTTTATTAATAAATCTAACTCTAAACCCTAATCCCAACACTAACTCTAACCCTAAAAAATATCTTCTAAAAAATTTTAAATTTTTTTAAAAAAATAGAAAAATTTCATTTTAATCTGATTTCATTTTAATCTGCTACAATAACTTTCAGCCTCCAATAAACAATAATAATAACAATAATCGACCTTATTCTAATAGTAATCAACCTCATAATAACAATAATCAAATTCAAAATAAACATCCTCTAAATAATAATAATAATGACCAAAGACAAAACTTTCTAAATTATTATGAGAATAATAACTATATTATGATTCAAAAAAATATGAAAAACAATATTGATAATAACAACTTTTTAAACTAGTAAGGACATCTTCTGAGGGTAAGCATGTCAATAATTCAAATTCCTTTGATGATTTGGATAATTTAATATCAGACTATTTAAATATCTTAGACACTTATATAACCGATAATAATATTAAGGGATTTGCTATTGCCACCCCCTATTTTTGCTAATGCCACCCCTCTGAAAAATTAACTTTTTTTAAATTTTAAGCGAAGATATCTTGACACCTACCAAATCAAATTCGATGAATTTTTTTTTCTTTGAATTCTATAGATTTGTAGAATTCAAACAAAAAAAACTTCATCGAATTTGACCTAGTAGTTGCTAAGATATCATTGCTCAAAGTTTGAAAAAAATCAAAATGTCTATCAAAACAAACTATACAAAATTTTCTTTAACTTTGAGCAAAGCTATCTTTGCAACTACTAGACCAAATTCGATGAATTTTTTTTTATTTGAATTCTACGAATCTGTAGAATGCAAATAAAAAAAAATTCATCAAAATTAGCTTGGTGGTTGTCGTGATATCTTCACTCAATGTTTTAAAAAAACTCAAAACGTATATCAAAACAAAAGCTGCGCCAAAATTTTTTCAAACTTTGAGCGAGGATATCTCAACAACCACCAATCCAATTTCGATGAATTTTTTTTTATTTAAATTCTGCAAATCTGTAGAATGCAAATAAAAAAACATTCATCGAAATTAGATTGGTGGTTGTCGAGATATCTTCGTTCAAAGCTTTAAAAAAACTCAAAATGTATATCAAAACAAAAGCTGCACTAAACTTTTCTCAAACTTTGCACGAAGATATCTTGACAACCACCAAGCCAAATTCGATGAATTTTTTTATTTACATTCTACAAATTCGTAGAATTCAAACAAAAAAAAAATTCATCAAAATTGGCTTGGTGGTTGTTGAGATATCTTTGCTCAAAGTTTGAAAAAATTTTGGCACAGCTTTTGTTTTGATACATGTTTTGAGTGTTTTTTAAAACTTTGAGAGAAGATATCTCGACAACCAACAAGCCAATTTTGATGAATTTTTTTTATTTGCATTTTACAGATTTGCAGAATTCAAATAAAAAAAATTTATCAGAATTGGATTGGTGGTTGTTGAGATATCCTCGCTCAAAGTTTGAAAAAATTTTGACGCAGCTTTTGTTTTGATATACGTTTTGAGTTTTTTTTAAACTTTGAGCGAAGATATCACGACAACCACCAAGCTAATTTCGATGAATTTTTTTTATTTGCATTCTACAGATTCGTAGAATTCAAATAAAAAAAAATTTATCGAATTTGGGCCAGTAGTTGCAAAGATAGCTTCGCTCAAAGTTAAAGAAAATTTTGTATAGTTTGTTTTGATAGACGTTTTGATTTTTTTCAAACTTTGAGCAATGATATCTTAGCAACTACTAGGTCAAATTCAATGAAGTTTTTTTTTGTTTGAATTCTACAAATCTATAGAATTCAAAAAATAAAAAATTCATTGAATTTGATTTGGTGGGTGTCGAAATATCTTCATTCAAAATTTTAAAAAAAGTTAATTTTGCAGAGGGGTGGTATTAGCAAAAATAGAGGGTGGCAATAGCAAATTCCTAATATTAATTATAATAATAATTTTAACAATACAGATAATAACTTGGATGAAATTTATCGAGATTAAAGGTTTCCAAGTAAACAAAAAAGAAGAGTTACAAGAAGATGAAATAAAAAATACTCTCTTTATTATAGCCACTGTTTATGAAAAAGAAATAAACGTTCTTGTCGATACAAATTTTAAAGGATATGTTATATCTAAACATTTTCTTGACAAAATTAATAAAACTATTGATAGACTAGGAAATGTTTGAATAATAGATATAACAGGAAATAGAACTATATCTTTTAGAAAAATTTTCAACATACCTGCAAAGTTTGAAAATTTAGAAATACAAGTAGATATGCTTGTAACTGAGTTGAAGGAATATAATATTGTTTTTGAGAATGAATACTTGGATTAAGCTAAAGCTAGTATTGATTTTAAAATTGGTCTTATGATAGTTGAAGATGAAAATATATACCTATAACTTGTTGGAAAAAAATTGAAGACCCTAATATACTTTGTGGAATTCCTTATCAACAAACAAAAAATAATAATTTGAAATTAGAACTAGAAGAAGAAGAAGATTTGAATGATAATAAATATTTTTCAACTCACATTCAAACTAACCAATACTTCACCAAGGTTAATAATCAACTTATATCTAATATAAGGATCGAAAATAGTAAAGATTCTAGAAACAATATGAATGAAATCTTCAAAATAGTTAAACCTGAAATAGAAGATATAGTTCTCAAACAAAAAGTTATAAAACAAAAATCTAAAGAAATATTTATTACTGAAAACAAATCAATATTTATAGGAAATAATTTAAATATTGAACAAGAAACAAAAATAAAAAACTTTTTAAAAGAAAATTCTGATATTTTTGCAACTCAATTTTCAGAACTTAGACAAACCAACGTTATTTACCATGCTGTTCATACTGAAAACCATTTTTCTATCAAACAATAAGTATACCAAGCATCTCCTATTGAACAAGAACATATTAGAAATGAAATAGAAAAGATGGAAAAAGATGGAATAATTCGTAAATCTGAAAGTTCTTGAAGTTTGTCAGTAGTATTAGTAAAAAAGAAAAATAGAAAACTTCGATTTTGTATAGATTATAGAAGTTAAATTCTATAATTAAAAAAAGATATATATCCTCTTCTTTATATAGATGAAATGTTAGATAATTTAGGAAAAGCTAAATGGTTTACTTCTTTGGATTTAACCTCTGGATACTGACAAGTTCAAGTAAAAGAAGAAAACAAAGAAAAGATAGCCTTTATTACAAAATATAGTCTTTATAAGTTCAATATCATGCCGTTTGGACTTTGTAATGCTCCTTCAACATTTCAAAGATTAATGGATATAGTTCTTAATTTTGTTCTTTAGAAATATGCTATGGTATATATCGATGATGTTAATATATACTCTGAATCATTTGAACAATATCTAGAACATTTAAATGAAGTTTTTAAATTAATAAGGAAGGCTAATTTACAAATCAACTCTGAAAAATGTCATTTTTGTACAAATAAGATACAATTCTTAGAATATATAGTAGGAATTAATATGATAAAACCTGACCCACAAACAAGCAATAAGTAATAACTCTTCCCAACAATTACTTGTACCTAAAATTTAGCAAACAGAAAACAGAACTTTTGTTGGAGAGACGTGGCCTCCTTGTGGTTTGTCTAGAGGTTAACTGCTTTTTTAAAGAACTCCTCTATAGTAAATATTCAGCATGCAAGCCAGAAGTATTATTATACAAGATAATTGACAGGTGGTGCTCTTGTATAAAAAATCTTAGTAAAGTGCAACGGTGAACTTGCTTATTTTCATCAACGAAGTAAGTTGGCTATTACTTCAAAGAAGAACACAGGGGAAACAAACAAAGTTTCAGTAGCCCAACACACTCTTTAGAAATTTTAGAAGTACCTGCAACCATATATCTACAAACATATTTGAAATTTTTTTAGAAATTTCCAAAAGATCAGCAGTGTTTACTCCTTTCAAATTAGGACGCATCTACTGAAATGGAACCTCCCACGAGCTTATTTAGATTCTGCTTTGCCAAATAAACAATGATTTTGGTACTGTTTACAGTATAGGGGATCAGAGGGATCACGTGTAAAAATTTCTTAATGTTAGACATTTTTTTTCTTTCCACTTCTTTTTAATACATATAGTGTTAAAATAGATTTTTTCTATACAATATTATATAATTTTTACAGCCTGATACAGACAATAATAGTGTCATCATAGTTATCTTTTTTTCAGTCTTTTTTTTCTTGTTTTCTTTTTTATTTTGTTTGTTTTTTTTAGTTTTGTTTAGTTTAAATCTTTCTCCTTTTTTTAGTTTTCCTTTTATTTCGTATTTGTTTTTTCTTTGTTTTTTGTTGGTAGTTTTTCTATTTAGGAGGCTAGAAGAAGAAAGTTCGGAAAAAAGACGGTTATGATGGGCTGGTAAACTAGGCCAGTGATCCGGGAATGGGTTGGTTGAAGCGAAGTAAGCCAAACCTAACTAGGGAGATTGAACTCATCTTTGGCAGGTCGCACATAGGTTCAATTAAAAATCGGGTGAGCTACATTCTAGATTTTTTGCCATAAGGCATGATGTAATTTGGACAAATTTTTCAGGAAATATAATATCTCATCAATAAAGCAGGCATGTGATATAGCCATCAAATTTCAAAAAAAAAAAAAAAAAATCCAACCCACAAAAGGTAGAAAAATTAGAAAAACTTCCAATATCCAAAAACATTACTCAACTTAGAGCATTTATAAAACTAGCTTTCTATTATAGAATATTTATCAAAGAATTTGCTAAAAAGGCTATGCCTTTACATAAACTATTACAAAAGGATATAGAATTTATTTGGACCAATGAATATGAAGAAATATTTAATTGGCTTAAACAACAATTAATTACTCTAATATCCTGACTATAATATATCTTTTATTCTCTTCACAGATGCTTCTTATCAAGGCATTGGAGCTATACTTGCTCAAATAAAAGACAAAAAGAAATATGTTATTGCTTATACAGGCAAAACACTATCTCCTACAGAGAAAAATTATAGTACTGTTGAGCTCAAATGTTTAGCAGTAATCTGGGCAGTAAAATATTTTCAACATTATATACATGGAATAAGATTTACTCTGGTTACCGATTACAAAGCTTTACAATGGCTCTTAAACTCTATCATCATTAATGATAATAAACAGATTACAAGATGGAGACTCACTTTACAAAAATATTAGTGTAATATTAAATATTGTGCTAGTAGCTAGAATCAAAATGTAGATTTTTTTTCTCACTTACTAGAATTTTATTAAGATAATAGATAATAAAGATTATAATCAATTATTAAATATCTTACTTATCTCATATATCCTACAGATGCCTCTATTATAGAAAAATTTTGTTTACAAAAAGAAGCTAAAAAATATTTTGTAGAAAATAATATTTTATATTGTTGAAATAATAAAAAGCCACAAAGAGTAATTAAACTATTTTAAAAGCCAACATTCTATATTCTTTATATGACGAACAAAGAGTACATTTGGGTATTGAATCTACTTATAATAAAATAAAAGAAAGATTCTATTGGCCTGAAATATATGAAGATATTAAAAATTATATACAAACATGTGATATTTGTCAAAGAAGAAGACATGAAGTTAAACGTCAAACTTTATGACCATTAGAAGTAAAATATTCATTTCATAGAATAAGAATAGATATAAAAGGACTATTGCTGATAACAAAGCATGGTAATAGATATATCATTGTTGCTATGGACTATTTAACAAAGTGGTCTGAAGCAAGAGCTACATTAGATATAAAAGCTACTACTGTTGCTAATTTTATTTACAAAGACATTATTTGTAAACATGAAATACCAGAAATATTATTTTCAAATTGAAGAAAGAATTTTATGAGTAAGATTGTAAAAGAATTGTGCTAAAAATTCCAAATTAAATATCATAAATCTTCAGCATATCGACCTCAAACTAATAGAATAATAGAAAGATTTAATTAGACAATTGGTGAAGCTTTAGCAAAAATTACAAGCTATAAATACAAAGAATGAGATGAAATTCTTCCTTCTGTATTATTAGCTTATCGAACTATAAAGTATAGAACTACTAAATTTACTATGTTTTCTTTAATATATAGATGAGAAGCTAAATTACCAATTGAAACCATTATCGAAACCTATTATAATGAAGATATGTCATTCCAAGAAGCACTACTAAAAAGAATATTCAAAATAGAAAATTTATTGATAAAACAACAAAAAGCTATACAAAATATACAAGAAGTACAACATAGTCAAAAGGAATATCATGATAGAAATCTCAAGCATAATACTTTAAAATTTGGAAATAAAATATTAGTAGCTAGATCTTATCTTAAAAATGTCTTTTCAACAAAACTAGAAGAACAATTTATGGGTCCTTATATTATTTATAATATATTAGAATTTGGAGTTTATAAACTACGAATCTTCGATAGTAAAAAAGTAAAAAATCCTGTATATGAAAACAGATTAAAATTGTATTATGATAGAGAAATTAAAGATCTTCTTGTACCTCAAATTATTATTACACAAAATAATAACACAAATTAGTAGATTGTATAACCTTGACTTTTATAAATATACTCTTCAGTCATTAAAATCTCTTAAATTTTTAAATCCTTAAAAATTTCTAGAACTTAAAATTTTATAATTTTTATTTAACTTTTATATATAACTTTTTATATTCTTTTATTTATGAATTTTTTTATTTAAAATGGAATTACAAGTTTTTAACAATATATTTCTTAATCAATTCTCTATTAAAGTACTGTATTACAAGGATTATAACAATTTTTGAATAAATAGAAACAAGAATATAACAATAGCAAATACTTGAAGATTGATCAGGAAAAGATTATAGAAAATAATGAAGCTAGAATTAAAGCCTTAATTAATAAAATTCTTGAATGTTCTTTTACAATCCCCTCAGAATTTGACTTTTTTAATAAGTTCATTAATTATAAAGAATGAAATATACTTCATCAAGAAACTATTGTAAATCTTGATTATAATTCTTTAGATTCCCAAAATAATATATTATGGGATAAAGAAAATAATATAGGAGAACCTTCTGAAAACGAATCTAGAGAAGGAAGATCTAATCTTGAAAAAGATAATTTGAAAACAAATCAAATAGTTCGATTTGATAATGAAAATCCAACTCTTAATAAAGATAACTCTTTATTCACTAAAATAACTAGAGATTTAAGTCAAAATTCAGAAGTAAATAACATATCTATTTCTCCTTTTGTTGGCAATGACGAATTAAATACTTTTAATAGGATCATTAGAGCCTATATTAAAATTAAGAAAAATAATTTTAAACGTATCCCATAATTAGAAATAATATATTATCTAGGAAAGCTCTTTATTGATAATAGATATAATAATCAGTTAATGACAGAATTTTGTTAAAAAAATTCAAGAAATCTGATTACAAATTCAAGCTACTAGAATTTACACTCTATTTTATAAATACAGACTTAATAAATTATATAACTCAGTAAAAGTATATATTACAGACTTTGGAAAATTAACACCAGAACAATTTGAACAATTAAGAAATTGAATTTTATTAAAGAAGAAAAAAATACAAATTGTATAAATTACAATTCTCCATAGTCAAAAACTCAATAACTTTTATAAAAACAATATTTCTTTATAGCTTTAATCCTATCAATGATCCTATGTTTCTTTAATACCAAACAAGATGATAAGTATCTTGACTTAATCTCCCTGCCAAATCAAATAAATATCAACTGGCGAGCAAAAATTCAATATTCTTGTCAAAAACTTTAAAAAAAAAAATTTTACTTCTATTATTATTATTATTATTATTAATTCTATTATTATTATTATTATTATACTATTGTTCTTTGGTAAAACCTAAACCTTCAAGAACATAGGAATAAGTAACTACTTCTGGTTGAACAATGTCTGCAGTAGTTGCTTCTTCTTGGACTTTTTTTTGTAAATCACCTCATTATCAGAAATAACAATAACATCTTTATTATTATTATTATTATTATTATTATTATTAATATTATTATTAATATCATTATTATTGTTGTTGTCATTATTTTTATTATTATTATTATTATTATTATTATTATTATTATTATTGTTACTATTATTTGCAATATGATAATAGTAGTGTTTAAGGTGAGCCTGAGTATAAGAATGTTTAATCATTTTTAAATGAAGAATTTTTCAAAAAGAAAGATAAAAAAAATTTGAATGAAAGTAACAAGTGTATGCAGTGTAGCATACAGGCACGTATAGATTCTGTGCCAGGTTATAACAATCATTCATCACATGATAGTATTCTGGTACACAAATATGCATAAACATATTTGTGAAACAGTTCTATGTATATCGTTACACAATCCAAATATAATGCCAATTTTCGCTTTACCTAATGCAAAACTTCATATACCAAGAAAATTGTAACTATTAAAGATAAGCTAACCTAAATATTGACTTATTTATTATTCAATAATTCTACGTATATAGCTTAAGTTTGCTCTCTGTATAAATAAATTGAGGTTTTAACATAAGTTTTTTAAAGTAATGCCAAAAACTAGATTTTAACGAATTTATTTTAAAGTTCAGATTTCTTTGGCATTGCCTAATATCTCAATATTTCAAAATTTTTTCTTAATAAGAAAAATGAATAAATTAGTGCTCTTACTTTTTTATACATTCATAGCAATAAACTTAACTCTAAGTGTTGAAGCAGTAGTGGTTGCTCTTTATAAAAATACTGATTTAACTATCATTTTTTATGTATCCACCATAATAAAATAAACTTTTTCTTACTAATGTTCTCATTAGCCGTTGCTGTTAATTGAAATATATATATAGATAAGATTAAAAATAAGCCAAAATCGAATAAACACTTTAAATAAAATTATCAAAGTAAAGTAGTAAAGGATATCTAAATATCGAATAAATACTTTAAATAAAATTACCAAAGTAAAGTAGTAAAGGATATCTAAATCCTTTACTACCTTACATATTGAATTAGAACTTCCAATTCTAATACTTTTTTTTACTACTGGAAGTATAGTATTTCTGAATTAAATTAATTCATTATTACCAGTTTAATAAAATTTTAAAGTTTGAAAGTAATTTATATTCGAATTTAAAGTATAAATTATCATTATATCAAATAGTAACTAATACTGGTAAAATAAAAAATTCAATGTGTCGAATGATATTCAAATAGTGCTATTCGACATATCAATTTTTTTTTTTTTTACCAGTGTAATATTACAATAAACTTGCGAATATAAAAGATTATATTAACATATTGTTTAAAATTAACATATGAAGCCATTAAATATTAAATATTTTAATATGTTCAAGTTTTTTTTATCATCAGTATCACAATAAGTATATATTTAAAACAGTGTTATGAATAAATTCATTTAAAAACTTTAAAGAATATCGTGAACTAGAAAACCTTTTATTTAATATACATGTACTATCTGTATTTCATTACTTATTTAAAAATTAATCATTTAGTATCCAACTTAGCTACTAAAAATTATTTTTGCTAGTAATTGTCATGTACTGTTATTAACTAGAATAAAATTCCATTGATACTTTCTAACATAAAATGCGAACATACTACAAGAATTATTAATTCAAATTATTTCTACTAATATTTTCACTAAGATTATACTTCTTTTTACCGATTGCTCTAACTTTGCGTGCTGGTATAACTTGAAAATCCTGATTTTCTTTGTTACCAGTTTTTCTACGCTTAATAAATTCAACCTGTACACGGATTTTAGCACCACTTTTCATATGTACAAGAGGGTCTGTACCAGGTTTCATATTATAAAGAAAGGATATTAATGCTGAAATAGATTTGGCTTTTGCAGCATTATATCTTTCGGCCATTTTTTCAAGGGCTGCTCGAAGTTGTGGTCTACAACTTTCATAATCATCTTTGACCATTTTAAGAAATACTTCGAAAAATTCTGGATTATAACTTTATTTAATAAAGATTTATTTAGATAATATTATTTATATTAGTTATAATTGCATATTATACAAAAATATACTTGGTATAAAAAAAATAAACCTACATATCAGCTGCTATATTTACATCGGCTACTATATTTTCATCAGCTACTATATTCTTATCGGCTACTGTATTCTCATAGGCTACTGTATTCTCATCGGCTACTATATTCTCATCGGCTACTATATTTTCATTGAATCCTATATTCACATCAGCTACTATATTCATAACCTGATTCTCATTTGTATTTGTTACTGATTGATTCGTATTGATATCTAGTGCAATTTGATTTGCATTTGATTCTTCATGTCGATTATCATTTATGTGAGCTTTGTAAGGATTTAACGATGCATAAAAAGAATTATCCGCTGTAATTTCTGTTATAATTTTTAAATATTAGTTTAAAAAGAAAAAATTTAAAGAATTAGACTAAAATTTTATATTATTAACTTCTTACCACATGCAATATATGCGAAACAAGCTCGATCATCAGGTAATAAGGATGGAAAAAAATTTAAAGACCCTACATGATACTTTGTAGCTACTGCCCCTTGATATTTACATGGTGCTCCTGTTAATCCAATAATGCATGTACACGTACTGAATTCTGTATTAACAATATAGAATAATTCAGTTCCTTTTTTTTGACTTGGAACCAAATATTTTGAGCTTATATCAGTTTGTTGAATATTTGTTGCATTAATATCATTCCAACCAGGACATAAGAATTTTTGAGCGATTCTAATCTGACCAGGATGACTATATGCTATCCCAAGTAACCGACGCTCATAATAGTGTTCCATGGTTATGATAATAAATTTAAACATCTGAACAATATTGTATGCCTGAGTACATGAGAATATAATATCCTTTAGCAACCCAAAACTACGCTCTATGTAATTATTGGTGTTGTTACCTCAAATAAGAAGTTCTGAGCAAAACAATACTGCCCAGAATTGTCGTCGGTTCCAAAGTTGCTCAAAATATCTGTGCATCTGTGGGTACACATGATAGTAATTGATTTTTAATTCATTATACCATTCGATCATTTCAGCTTCAGTTTGAGAATATAATATTCTTTTTATAGTAGTCATTATAGGTTTTTTATGATCTTTGCTTATGTTATTTTTCGAATTATGTAAACAGCACCAAAACGCCTAGAGTACATAGAATATACATAATAATCGTTTTGAATTTGGCCAGCAATGCATTAATGCATTACGTTCTGAGTTTGAATCATCTGTAAGAAATACTAATGGACCAGTGTTAGGACTGCGACCAAAAAATGCATTTGGCGGAAGAAGAGATTTTAGCATTACCATCTCTTTTTTAAGAGTTATTTCCAACTTATCTGATGTTATAATAAGCCCAAGAGGCAACACCCCTGCAATACAGCTTGTGTAGAACAAAGTAACTGATGTATTTAGTGGTTTAAAAGATGCCGAAGCATCTACATAACAAATTTTGCCTGATTGATTAATTCTTTCATGAACACGAACTATTAAATTCGTGACAATACACAGAATAAATGCTTTTTTTGATTGTAAATCATATTCTTGCAAAATAGCACAACCTTTACCAGAATTATTATAAAAATCAACTTCATCTTTAAGTCGTTGAGCCATAGATGTGCCATTTTTCTCTCCTAAACAGCTTTTGCGAAATTCCTTAAACAAATTTGAAACATAATCATAATCTGGATTTCGTGCACAGTCTGCTAACCATTGCATAAGTTCTTGATCATTATTTGCTTGTAAATGAAGATTATCTTCATATGTAAATCGGGCAGTAGCTGGTGAATATTTATTTTTAAAAAGTTCAAGATATTTGTCACAAACTTCATTACTAACATGTCTAAAACTAAGTGCTTTAGCAGAATGAACTACATGGTTGTGAATATATTTAATATTTATCTCAAGTGGATGGTCTATTTGAAGATTTCGTCACTCAAGCCTAAGATGAAGAGTAGCTTTGCATTCAGTATTTCTAACACGTAGTGAATTAGGGTTTTTTAAAATAAGATTTCCTTGTTTTTGTCTCACAGTATTACTATGAATACAGTGTCGCAATTGTCTAAATATAACTTTTTGCCTTGAATTTTATACTCTTTAGATTGAGGCATAGTGGTTTTTGATGTTTCTTCAAAATCTACAAGCCATTTTTGCACACTTTTAACACTATTAATATTTGCTATAAGATCTGCTTCAAATTGATTAACAAAAAACCCTTCATCTGTAATATAATCAGAAAATTTTCAAAGTTCAATAACAGAATAATTGTAATTCACCGGAAGTATGACTGCAATATATTCAGGTAAAATGGTACTAGTTTCATTTAATATATTTGCATTGATTAAATTATCATCCAATATATTTATATAGATCAAGTTCTCATTATTTAATATATTCGTATAGGTTAAACTTTTATCCAATATATTCGTATAGATCAAGTTCTCATTATTTAACATATCTGTATAGGTTAAACTTTTATCCAATATATTTGTATAGATCAGGTTATTATTATTTAATATATTCGTATAGGTTAAACTTTCATTATTTAATATTTTGTCAATATTCAAAGTTTCTGTCATATTTAAATTTATACATAGAAAGTAGAAAAGGTAGGTTCAAATTTTTAAGAAAAAAAAAGAAAGCTGTTTTTGAAAAAAAATATGCAAGAAATAAAGGGGTAAGAATGCACTTTTATCGTTATACATAGAACATATTGCAAAATATCATCATATTGTTGTAATTTGTAATGTCTGAGTTTAAAATTCGTTATACTTAATATAACTAATTTCAATATTCGAAGTTTAAAAAGTCTAAGAAGTCTAATAGATATCACTTAAAAGTATATTTTAATTAAAGAGAAAATGTATTATATATATCAAAAGAGAAAAAAAAAAATCAAAAAAAAAAATCATCCAAAAAACTTCACAGTTAAGTTACTTGCACATATATATTAAATATATCATTGATGTAGTGAAGTTTTCAAATTTAAGCAAGATCACTGATATATATATATTAATGATAAAAAATTAGGGCGTACAAATGAGGTATGTATTGATAATAATTATTAATCAAATGATAACAATTCACAAAATTTATTTTAAACGTTTGAGAAATCAATTCAACATAATTGTAACTTTTGAAGACTTTCACCCACTTTTAGTAATAATGTAACACAATTTTTAGAGTTACTGTATTATTTGTTTAAAAGTATGATCTACGATACAAAAAGAAGAAAAATATAGACTTATTCAGCTTTCAAACAGCCCTCGTGCAGTCTTTCCTTATATGAAAAATTCAACGATCTGGGTAACTGAAAACCGCTATTTTACTAATAAATTAAAATTTGAATAGTATAGTAGTATACGTATATACGTATATACTACTTTTGTAAATCGGAAATATTTATTTAAAAAAAAACTCGATAAACATATATAACTCAAGTCAATTTATTTTTTTTATTTATGATATGTATATACGTACGTATATATTACATATAAAACCTCAATTTATTTATGCAGAGAGCAAACTTAAGCTATGTATATAAAATTATTGAATAATAAATAAGTCAATATTTAGGTTGGCTTATCTTTAATAGTTACAATTTTCTTGGCATATGAAGTTTTGCATTAGGTAAAGCGAAAATTGGCATTATATTTGGATTGTATAATGATATGCATAGAACTGTTTCACAAATATGTTTATACATATTTGTGTACCAGAATACTATCATGTGATGAATGATCATTATAACCTGGCACAGAATCTATACGTGCGACATACAGCCCAACTTATATTTGAAAAGATTATCAAACCCATGAGAACAAATTAAACAATATTATTGGACAATCTACAACCAAATTTAGATCTTCAAAAGAGGTACAAAAAAAAATTTTATTATGTATACAATACTGTAGTATAGTGAGTAGAGTGTATAGCACTGCAGAGCTGTGTGTTCGAATCTCATTAGTAGCTTGTTATACAAGGTGCATTCTAGTGACAATACTAACCACAGTAAAACATTCGAATTTTATTTATTTTATATTTTTCTTATTGGCGGGCTGTTATACATACCCCCAAATTTGTTATTCGTACCCCTGTAAAATAACACTTTTTTAAACTTTGTATGAAGATATCTTAACAACCACCAAGTCAAATTCAATAAATTCTTTTTAGTTGCATTCTACAGATTCATAAAATTCAAATAAAAAAAATTCATCAAATTTGACATGGTGGGTGTTAAGATATCTTCACTCAAAGTTTGAAAAAAGTTTGGTGCAGCTTTGTTTTAAAATACATTTTGAGTTTTCTTAATTTTGAGCAAAGGTATCTTGTAGACCACCAGGTCAAATTTGATGAATTTTTTTTATTCGAATTCTACGAATATGTAGAATGCAAATAAAAAAACTTTCATTGGATTTGACTTGGTGGTTAATGAGATATCTTCACTCAAAGTTTTAAAAAAAACTCAAAATATCTATCAAAATAAAGCTGTGTCAAAATTTTTCTTAAACTTTGAACAAACCTATCTCGATATCCACCAAGTCAAATTTGATAAATTTTTTTTTATTCGAATTATACGAATCTGTAAAATGTAAATAAAAAAAATTTATTGAATTTGACTTAGTAGTTGTCGAGATAGTTTCGCTCAAAGGTTTAAAAAAATTTGGCGTAGCTTTATTTTGATATTAATCATAGCTGCTGCAACAAATTTGGACCAGCAGATCCTCGATTTTGATTGGCTAACGGCAGAGGATCTTCGAAATTTTGGCCCGCATTACAAAATTGGGTACTAATTTCCGGCCGGAATTAACTATTTAATTTTTTCATTACAAAAATAGAAATTCATAAAAAATAAGCTCGCATTATAGTAAAATTGGCCCAGGAACAATTTTCACTTAATAGGCAGTTATGATTTTATTTAGTAAAATTATGAGTAATTCCGGCCTAATCTTTTGATCATCGCTATTAGCCAATCAAAATCGAGAATCTGCTAGTCCAAATTTGTTGCGACAGCTATGGTTTTGATAGATGTTTTGAGTTTTTTTAAAACTTTGAGCGAAGATATCTCATTAACCACCAGGTCAAATCCGATGAAAGTTTTTTTATTTGCATTCTACAGATTCATAGAATTTGAATAAAAAAAAATTCATTGAATTTGACCTGGTGGTTTACGAGATACCTTCACTCAAAGTTAAGGAAACTCAAAATGTATTTTAAAACAAACTTTTTTCAAACTTTGAGTTAAGATATCTCGACACACACCATGTCAAATTTGATAAATTTTTTTTTATTTGAATTCTACGAATCTGTAAAATGCAACTAAGAAGAATTTATTAAATTTGACTTGGTGGTTGTTGAGATATCTTTGTACAAAGTTTAAAAAAGTATTATTTTACAGGGGTACAAATAACAAATTTGAGGATATATATAACAGCCACCTTCTTATTTTATTATTATTACTACTAGTATCGTTTATTTTATTATTATTATATTTATTTAGTTATTTTTCTTTTTGTAACTACTTACTAACTTTTTTAATTTTGTGAAGCAAATTTTCGAAAGAAGAAGTAGTATTATATTAGTATTATTCTGTATTAGTACTTTAAAATTTTCTATTGAGGTGTGGCGACTTAGTGTAGTGGTCTAGTCATCACCCTCTCCAAGTGGCAGGTCTAGAGTTCGAATTCCACGGACGATGAATTTTGAAAAATAGGCTTGCGTTACGGTTGACGGTTATAATTATCGGTTGGATCTTAGATAAATCTGTAACTTCGGTCACACTATCTAGTAATGGGAGCAATGGTGCAATAAAGCCGAGAAACCGGCATAACCGAAAACCCATTTGGGAAGTCCCGAGTTAGGAAGTAGCAGTAATCATCGATGGTATCACAAGAAGGCTGAATTCGAACCGGGGCCCGAGATTGGAGAACTGAACGACCAGATCCTAATGGCGGAGGACATACTAGCTGAATTGCCGGGTTCTGTCGCACTGGAGGAAAAGGACATACACTTCGAAAGTTATAGGCCGACATTTGTATGATTGGTTAATTTTTGTAGATCTACCTGTGATTTTCCGTGATAATTAACCAAT